AGGGGCTGGGGGCTCGGGGGCTGGTGGTACAGACACAAAGGAGGTCACCATATACAGGGGAGTAGAGGAAGACGCTGGTTTAACCTCTTGAGGAATAGAGGCTGGGATCGGGGTCCCAGTGTCAGGGATGGAAGACTTGGGCTCACTTGGGGCGACCTGGGCACTGGGTGGGGAGGGCTCTGCTTGCCGGGCAGCCTGCAGGCCTCTGTGCTTTCGTGGGGGAGTTGGGGGTGGTGGACCCACAGCCTTGAGTGAGGACAAGGCCTTGGTGGGGGGTGTGGGGGGAGATGAGGGGCTGAGAGCAGCTGACTGGGGGCCTGTGGGACCAGGAGCTGCAGGGGTGGTTGGGGACGGGGCCAGTGAGGTAGGAGAGTCCGGAGGTGGGGCCCTGGCTGGCCCTGAGGTAACAGGGGTGTCTCGGTGAGCAGCAGGTAGCAGAGCTGAGGAATCTGAGTGAAGACAAGGAAAACCATCACCTAGGTGCCCCTGGCAGCAAAACCACGGTGTTCTGAGAAGAGGGTGGATCTTGGGCTTAGGGTCCCCTTCCTTTTCTGGCAACCCCCAACCTCATCACACCGACCTTGCGTGCCCCTGACGAGGACCTTCTCAGAAGGGTTGCTGAAAGGCCCTTGTCCAGCACGGTTGGCACAGGCCACTCGGAACCTCACGGTCACACCGATTGGTAGGTGGGTCACATTGTAGTAACAGTCAGGGATGCCTGAGCTCACTGAGTGCCAGGAAGACTCCCCTGCAGGCACCATGGGAAGGGCTGAGGTCAAAGAAGGGGTGGCCCAAGCTCCCAGTGCTATCTGTAAGGAGCCTAGGGAGGGGACTTTGCCCAGGGAGGGCGCTTATCTCCCTGGCTTCTCCGCCTGCCGCCTGCCACCTGCCACCCCTTCCCCGGGCCAGCCTGTGCAGTTCCTCACCATCCACCCGCCGCTCCAGTGTGTACGTGCAGGGTGCCCGGCTGTCTCCTGGCTTCCAGAGCACCAGCGCTGTGTCCTGGTAGGTCTGGGGCACCTCGGGAGGGGCTAGCTTCCCTGGGACACCTGGCAAGAGGATGGGAGCCCCAGTGAGCTCCTACGCTCCAGCTTAGAGCCCATCTAACCCTGCCCCAACACCCTTCATCATTGCCCCCCTTGGTCCCTGCCCCAGGCTCACGGGCCACAGCCACGGTACAGGAGCTGGTGACGCTGCCTAGGACATTGGTGGCTGAGCACTCATAGAGCCCAGCATGCCGCTTGCCCGCCCGAGGGATGCTCAACAACTGCCGTCCATCTTTGCAGGACACGATGACCACTGAGGGTTCTGACCGCAGGGACTGCTTGTCTGGGGGCAGAGAGGAGCAGGAGGGATTGCTGAGTGGGGCAGCACATGTGGTCCTCCAGGACTCCTTGGTTGCCACTCTCCCCAAGCATCACCAGGCATTGGGGCCACTTGCCTATGCCCCTCTCTGGGGAGAAGTGATCTTACCTTTCATCCAGGAGATGTGGGGTGCAGGGCAGGCTGCCGGCAGGCAGAGCAGGGTGGCTGCCTCTCCCTCCAGCAGCACCTGGTCCTTGAGTTTGATGTGGAAGACTGGGGGGAAGTCTGGAGGGAGAGCAGACAGCCATGGGTTGAGAGGACCCCTGCTCACTTACTGCTGAGGGAGGGGAGGACGCATGTGAGAGGTGGGGAGCAGCGTGAAAGCTTGTCTCTTCCCAGTCAGATGCGAAAAGTGCAACTTCTCGCCACTCTTTGGAGAATTTTCTTTGGGGTGAGCATCACTCTCCCCTGTCACTCACTGTGTGCAGAGCTATCTTTTCCTTTCACTGGCTATTGAAGATGGCATGGTAGAGACCAAATACGTTTGGAAATTGCTTAGAGCAGGGCCTGGCACTACATTTAAGTGATCTACACACATTCATTAAGTAAAATAAAAACAAATAAATATTGAAAAACTGCAGTGGTTAAGATCTGACAACACTCCCTCCCTCTGGGGCACCACAGGGCAAGTGAGAGGAGCTGGTGACCTGAGCTGAGAATCCTGGGGTTGAACATAATGTTCAAGAAAAAATGCAGTCTTAAAAGATCTGAAGTCAAGGCAAAACAGGGGGCAGAGCCGGAAAGTGTGTCAGCTCCCCCCACCCCTCGTCCCCTCTGGGGTCTGGGGACACAGTTGTAGATCTTCTAATACTCCTTCAGGTCAGCAGAGTGGTGGAGCTTTTGAAGGGGCAAGAGACAGTATCTGCATGACCTTGGACCATGTCTTGTGTAAACTGAGGAAAAGAGTAACACCAAACTCATAGGGTTGTTGTGAGAATTACAAGAAACATATAAAGTGCTTAATATGTGCCTAAGATATAATAAGTGCTCATAAGTGTTAGCTCTTATTATTGTTATGCTTATTATCTCATGAATATGCTCAGTAGAGAGGCAGGCACAGGTCCTCAGAGAAAGAGGCTGCTTTGGCAAAGTTGGCTCCCCAGCTGACGAGAACTGGCCACGGCCAGGATGCCGAGGGGCCAAGGTCCCCTGTTCCAGTGAAGCTGGCCTGTGGCTCCTCAGTGCCATGAGGACTTGCATTCCTGTTCCCTGGCATGTGTCTTTAGAAATATCCCAATCTGGTCCTGGCCACCGGGGGTGGATTTTTCTCACATGGGCAGAGAAAGCTGAGGGATAGATACCCTGGGAGCCCCAGCTGCTGCCTGTCTAAAGAACCAGGAGGCAGTGGGGGTGGGGAGAGCTGGGCAGGAGAGGAATGCTCAGCAGGAGTGGATGATCAGAGCAACAGCATGCCCGCCCTTCCCACTGCACCCATGTTCCCCAAGGAGGGGTCCCACACTGGGGCTCCAATAACAAAATGAATATAGTTTCCTCAGACCAAGTCAGGGTGCTGGGTAGGGGGGAGAGAGAGGGAGGCCAGGAGGAGAGGTGAAAGGTGACCCTGGCCTAGCTCTGCCAGTTCTACCTCCATCCCCCCAGGGTGTAGCCCTAGCTGGTCAAGTGGACATGGGACAGCCTTCTTCTGCAGGGAGGGGGGAGAGGAGGAGGTAAGGGGACACTGCCTCAGCAGGAAATCAGCTGCACAAGCAAAATGGACCTGGGAGGGAGGCCCCAGGTGGGAAGGGATCAGCTGTCCCCAGGCCTCTGTGCTGGCTTCTCTCTGTCTCATTCCCTCTCCTTCTCCACTCCTGCCCCCACCAGCTGGCCTCCCTCCCTCCTCTTCCCTCATTACAGCCCCCCAGGGCCCACTGCCTCAAGAAGGATGTCCCAGCTCCCCTGGCCAAGGCCAGACAATCCCCTCAGCTGGACCAGTTCAGAGTTTTATTGGAAACTGGAGAAGAACAGAACTGGTGACTGCTGATGATCTTGTACACAGCCTGGCTTGGTGGGCCTGTTGCTTTCTGCATGCTGGTCTGGGGGACCTGGCCTCCTGAGCCTTTGTGTATAGTCCTTGAGTAATGCCCCTTTTTCAGGTGAGGAACCGGGTGACCTCAGGTGGGAAATACCTGCCTCACTGAAGCCCAGGACACAGCCCAGGACAGGGGCAGAGAAACAGACCAGGGCATATGCTATGTTCCCCTTCCCCCAAGCAAAGAGCCCTGAAGGTGCTGAAAGTGCTGGAGACCCTGG